GTCAGCAGCATGAAGAACCCATGGTAAAGCAAACCAGGCTGAGGGAATAGCAAGTGCAAGAAGGAAGGAAAAATACTTGGTGGCTCAGAGAGGGGCCATCGTGGCAAGAGAACAGATAAGACATGAGGAGATTGGGAAGGGACTGAGAGATCCAGATTCTGCAGGTTCCTAGAGCCAGAATGAGGAGTTTGGATTTCAGCAGGAAGTTCTGAGAAGCCTTAGAGTAGTTTAAGCAGAGGAGTGACATGGTTTGATTTACATTTTAGAAAGATCCTTGTGACTGGGTGCAAAGAGTAGATTTCGGAGTGCAGAAGCCCATGAAAGTTTCCATTCATCTTTCAAAGCAGAAAACAGACAAAGCGCCCACCTACCTGAGTCCTAGCAAGCGGCAGCAGGCCTTCAGTAAGTGTTAGATCTCCGCCCCATCCATAACTGAGTCCATTGCCTTTGACTTGGTGAAGCCTCTCCCAGTACCAGCGGTCGGAATTAACCTCTCATCACCTGGCACCTCCCACAGTCCTTTGCTCCAGCTCCATTATCGCTTCACCAAGAACCTTGTATAGCGAGTTCTCGCTTCTCCCTCTCTTAGTGGGGTTGTGAAACACTCCGTGTGGAAAGGGTCACACTCATACCTAAAGCCCTCACAGTGTCTAGCAAATGGACTCCCACACAGAGGAGTTGAAAGAACCACCGAAGGAGTGAATGAATGAAGTCTGAAAGGGAAGATGTCTGTGTTCCCCAGGAAAGCTATGCATGAACAGCTTAGGTTTAGAATCAATCCCACCTATATTTTAATTCAAGATCCACCACTCCCTAGCTATGGGAAGAAAAGTGAACCAAACTGCAGAAAACATGATGGAAGGGTTGGTGGAGAAGAACAAGCAGATATTTTCACAAAGAGCCGGCCGTCCTGAAGGATACTCCTATGCATCCTTCTGCTGATTTCTTTTTGTTTTGCAGGGGTGTGTACAGTGCTGTCTCCTTGACAGATACATTATGGTCTCTCTCCACACAAATACAAAATTGCATGCATAACCACAGCCTACTAAGTGCCAGGCAGGTACTGAGCGCTCTACCTGTATTAACACATTTTATCTCCATTTACAGATGAGGAAACTGAGGCTCAGCGAGGTTAACTGACTTGCCCAGGGTCTTTTGGCTTATATGTGGCAGAGCTGGAGTTTGATCCCAGGTCTGTTTGTATCTAAAGCCTAGGCCTAAACCGCTGTGCCAGGTTGAGGATTTAGGAATTACAGTGGTGACTTCAACTCAGGGACAGATGTACTTTCCTTCAGCCTTGCAGGAAATGCACAGCTTCCTCCTCCTTTCCCCTTGCAGCCACCAGCTTCCCCCGTGGGGTTCTCCTTGTCTCTGGACATGATTTCCCCAGCTTTTTCACCCTGCCTCCTGCGGTCAAAATGACCCACTCTAATCACCATCTCTGCCTATCACTAGCTCAAGAGACAGCTTGAGGGATTTGTGGGTTACACAGGTTTCCCTAGAAAGATGATAGGAAGGCAGATACTGGAATCAAAATGTCTTGTCTCTAGGGTTCTTGAATAGGGCAACAGTGCCCACTGGGTCCCAAGGGAGGAGGCTATTGCTTTGGGAGCACGGGCAAAGAGTTAATGCAAAAAAATCTGCTATTGGTGAGTCTTGGGCCCATGGTGCATGGCAGGGCACAGATCCAGTCATTACCCCACATGCAGATTCAGCGTGTCTTTACCTGCTTATGGCAGATAAAATGGAGAGTTAGGGTTGTGATGATGTGTATGGTCAGTGCTCAACAAATGTTTGTTAACCAAGAAGAAGACAGAGCCTTGTCCGTAAGTATCACAAAGTCGCAGGTGCTTGCCTTGGACTGTGCCGACACTGCCCTTTACTGGGAGGCTCACTTTTGGTATGAGAAGGGACAGCAGTGCTTCTTTGGTCTCATTAGATAATTGTGGCAATACCATGAGATAATACCTATCCCTTACCTACTGTATTCCAGTTTCACAGAAGAGGAAAATGCAGTCCAGAGAGGTAAAGTCTCTAGCCCCAAATCCCAAAATGTGTTAACCCCAGGAGGCAGGGATGTGAAAGCTGGAGAAATCATAGCCAGAGGCAAGAACCCCACAGGAGAAGCTGGTGGCTGCAAGAGGAAAGGAGGAGGAAGCTGTGTGTTTCCTGCAAGGCTGAAGGAAAGTACATCTGTCCCTGAGTTGAAATCACCACTGTAATTCCTAAATCCTCAACCTGGCACAGCGGTTTAGGCCTAGGCTTTAGATACAAACAGACCTGGGATCAAACTCCAGCTCTGCCTCATACAAGCCAAAAGACCCTGAGTAAGTCAGTTAACCTTGCTGAGCCTCAGTTTCCCCCTCTGTAAATGGAGATAAAATGTGTTAATACAGGTAGAGCGCTCAGCACCTGCCTGGCACTTAGTAGGCTGTGGTTATGCATGCAATTTGTATTTATATGGTGAGAGACCATAAAAACAGTCAGGGAAACAGTGCTGTACACACCCCTGCAAAACAAGGAGAAATCAGCAGAAGGATGGATGGGAGCATCCTTCAGGATGGCTGGCTCTTTGTGAATATGCCTACCTGTCCTCCACCAGCCTTTCCATGATGTTTTCTGCAGTTTGGTTCACTTTTCTTTTCCAATTTGAAAGGCTGCTTGGATCAGGCTATCTGAAGCTACAGGCAAAGACAGTGTAGGCTAGAAGAACAAATAAAATCAAAGGATCATTGATCCTCAACCAGGGGAACAGGCTCTCAGCTCTTATTCCAAGTCCCTGCAGAGACCCATTCTCTGAGCTGAGGCAGGCGCCCGGTGAGGACCAGAGAAGCCGACATGAGAGCCCAGATCCAGCCATCCATGGCTGCCGCACACACTCGTCAGGGGAGAAGGCATAGACAATAGCAGTCAGTTACACGGCCCTCTCCCTCCCTTCCCCAGTGCTTCTCAGAGCCCAGCAGGCAGCTGATGATAACTCAGCGGCGGCTGACAGCCCATCTAAAGCTCACTGTCTCTCCAGCTTCCAATCACCAGGTGTCTGAAGGGGTTACAGGAGCAGTCAGCTTCTGCCCTCATTAAGAGGCCTTTGGTGAGCAGAGAAGATGATCGTAAAAGGAACTGTCAGGTTCATCAGCCAATTGATGAGGAGGGGCACAGAAGCCCCCAGAGCTCTGGCCTCCTGACCTGTGAGGATGTGGGGGGCTCCATTTGCATCTCATTTGCATTGCATACTTAACAGGACTCCAGCTTACACTTGGAGAAAATCATTGTCATGCTCTGAAGAGAGCTGATTGGGTTTGCACAAACGATCTCACGGGGGGGGGGGGGGGCACTCACAAAGCGAGCCTGCACAACAGTCTCTGCCCTCCAGGAAAACAAGACCTCAATCAGACCACAGTGAGGCAGACAGATGCAGACCACACTATTCTGGGATGGATGACCAACTAAATAAAGCCATGGTTACATCATGCACAAGGCCAGACAGAGGGAAAATTCCAAATGTTTTCAAGAGACCATGTTCAAGTGATTCGGGCTAATTGCATGCAAGTCTTGTACTATGAATGTCAAACTGCACCAGCATCACATAAATGAGCTGTCAGAAGCTTGGTCAGCGTTCCCACAGAAAAGAGCCTTTCCCACCTCTCAGAATAGTTCTTATTTTGTTTGATTGATACACACACACACACACACACACACACACACTACCTTGGAAAAGGGTTTTCAGTTTTACCATCTAAAAGCCACAGGTACTCCCAGTATCCTTAAGCGGTGACAGCACCATCTTTCAACGATCTCTAAATTAAGACAAACCTGGGTTCAAATTCCAGCTCCTGCACTTACCAGCTGTATAAACTTAGCCAAGTCACTGAACCTTTCGGAGCTTCAGTTCCATCCCCTATAGAATGGGGACAACATTCACATCTAATCTCACAGGGATTAAGTGATATCATGCATGCAAAAGTGTTCTGTGCAATGCCAGGTACTGCTTACAAAATAGAAAGTCAAGAGATACTGCCTATAGTTGAGAAATCAAGAAATGGAACTGTAAATACACAACTTAAAGGAACTATTAGAATGGCTAGAGTTACAATAATGGATTCCCATTGTACTCAGAGTAAAAGACAAATTCCTTACCATGGATTACAAAGCCTTCAGCAGCTGCCTCCTTGCTCTCCCTCCTTCACCTCCTTGGCTCACTTCATTCAGACATACTAGTCCTCTTGCTGTTCCCACAAGCATGCCAAGCATGCTTATGCCACAGGGCCTTTGCACTGGCTGTTCCTATGCCTGGAATGCTCTTCTGCCAGGGAACTGCATGGCTCCCTCCCTCATCTCCTTCAAAAGCCTTTACTCAGAGTTCCCCATCTCAGTGACTCTCTTCTTGCTACCATATCTAAATTTGCATGGCCAGTCCCCTCCCTCATCTCTCCTATCCTCCTTTCTGCTTTATTTTTCTCCTTAGCACTTCCTGTCTGACATACTGTAGATATTTACTTACTTGACTCCTTTATTTTTTGACTCACACACTACAACAGAGGTCTGCAAACTACAGCCCAAGGGCCAAATCCAACCCACCATCTGTTTTTGTAAATAAAGTTTTATTGGAACACAGCCACATCCATCCACTGGCACACTGTCTGTGGCCACTTCTGTGCTACAATAGTAGAGTAGAGCAGTTGTGACAGGAACTAGATGGCTCCAAAGTCTGTCTGGCCCTTAACAGAAAATGTTTGTCAAGCCGTGCACTAGAATATAAGCTCCATGGAGGGAGGACTTTGTCTTGTTCTCTGACAAATTCCCTGTGACTAAGTCTATGCCTGACACATAGAAGATGCTTAAAATAATAGCTTTTTGCTGAATGAGTGAACTAAAAATGGCGATACACCTGTCCTGCAGCTGTGTGCGGGGAGAGGACCAGAGGGATGGTATCAAAGAGCTAAAATCTTCTCAGGAAATCAGTGCTATGAAATAGTGAAATGAATAGACAGAGCATGTCATTAAAATATAGAGTCCAAGTACCTGAAGAAAGAGTTAAGAGTTAAAAACAGTGTACTGCAAGTCCATGGTCCCCAGGTCCCCTGGGAACTTGTTAGAAACTCAAATTTTCATTCTTCTGTTTCACTGAATCAGAAACTCTGGGGATGGGACACTCTCTAGATGATTCTGATGCAAGTTCAAGTTTGAGAAGCACCGCTCTGCTAAATGGTACTGGGGTTGGGGCAGGGGAGACATTGTTTTTCATTGTAAGCTCTTCAGGGCACAGTGGGGTTTTTAACTCTCTGTCTATACTAGTTTGATTAAATAAATAAATAAAAATAGTGAAAGGACATAACATGGATTTAATATACCCAACAAGCAGCCATTTTAACAATGCCTAAATCTCATGTTTTTCTAGCAGTTCTTTTCCTCTAATTACCAGCCAAGGACAGAAGTGGTTTCTCAGAGGTAGCTATTGATAATTGCTTTACAACCCCCTCCCAGGCTTCTTTTGTGTTAATTAGCTTTTCTATTTCAAGTATTTGCCTCCACCCATAAGACCCAAGTTAACCTAATCAGCCCTTCATGATAGACAGACCCCACCACCCTGGCAGCAATCACGTGACTAACCCACCCATCTGCCTGCTGTCCATCACTTGACGTCAGTACCTGCGCTTGCCTGCTCCTTCATGATGACGCGGAGCCCACCACCAGGCAAACACCTTAACGAACTTCCCCTATCAAAAGGAAGGATTAAAAGTATTAGACCTCAAGTAGTTGGGTGCCATTGCCTTACTAGACTCTGGTGTGGTCATGTGTTCTTTGGGCTGTGGCCAATGCCATGTTTCCTGGCTTTGGCCCCCCTTCCCTACTTTGAGGAGGTGAATCAATCTCTCTCTCTCTTTCTAATTTACCTTCTAAATAAACTGTATTTCCCAATCTAACTTCTGTGCAATTCTTTGCATCTTACTCATGGCACTGGATCGCACACCAGATACCCACACCCCCAGCGGGCCTGACCTAACATTCTGGAGGCCCTGGCTGGGAGTGTGACCTAACAAATAGTTAAAGATGTATTAGTCATATGTTTTTATTTTCTGTATTCCTTTTCTTTATTTTAGATTCGGGTCTCACCGTCACCCAGGCTGGAGTGCAGAGGTGCGATTATAGCTCACCACAGTCTCAAATTCCTGGACTCAATCCTTCCACTTCAGCCTCCCAGATAGCTGGGATTACAGGTGTGCACTACCACACCTGGCTCCATTTTCTATATTTCTGATGCTCCGACATCTTAGAACTTTGCTGATCCTGGAGAAACTGCACCTTCCACGGCTAGCCAATTCCTAGAGATATTATAGTAAAGGACTCATGGCAGCTGCACCTTCCACATGCAAATCAATCAATCCAAAGTGAGTGTATACCCTCAACCACCTCCTTAATTGAGGCCTTAAACTCCAGGTCACTATTCTGCTGCCCGGATCACCCCAGGACCAGGCAGGTACCCGGCATCTAGAGAGACAGCTGCTACACACAAAGCCTGTGGAAATTATTCAAACTAGCCAGTCCCAAGTCTACTTGCCCTGTCTCACCTGCTCCTTCCCACAGATGACAGTAAAGGTTCTCACCCACATTTTTCTTCTGCTGCCACTGCCTCCTGGCAGGCCCTGGTACTCTTCTATGTGGTTCTTCTTGAGGTGACACGCTCAATCTTTTTGGGAACTATGAGTAATAAGCTACCTTTTTTTTTTTTGAGTTGGAGTGTCACTCCATCGCCCAGGTTGGGGTGCAGTGGCACACTCATGGCCACCCCAGCGTCAACCTGCTGGGCTCTGGCAATCCTTCTGCCTCAGCCTTCCAAGTAGCTGGAATGACAGGTATGTACTACAGCACCTAGCTAATTTTTATTTTATTTTATTATTTTTTTATTTTTAATTTTTATTGTAGAGATGAGGTCTCGCCAAGTTGCCCAGGCTGTTCTCAAACCTGCAAGCTCAAGCAGTCCACTCACCTTGGCCTCCCAAAGTGCTGGGATTACAGGCTGAGCCAATGAACCCGGCCAATAAGTTATCTTTTTCCATGGGAATTGGGGCAGAAGTGGCACAGACCTAGCAAAGAATGGTGCTGGAGAGGTGGCGTCCAGAGACGCTCTCACAAAAGCAATAGGATTCGAAGGTTCTCAGCATGGCCTTGGACCAAAGAACCAAATCCAATGAGATGAAATGTATCAGGACTCATCCTGCAGTTTGGGAAAAACAAAAAAAACAAAAAAATCTGCACGAAGATATGAGAAATACAAGCTAGCAGCACCTGATGTGGTAGACGGGCAAGGTTTAATTGTAAACCCAAGATAAATCAATGGTGTGATGTGGCTGGCCATACCCCCAACCCCCCAAAGCGAGTACTGTCATCATAGCATGCAGAGAGAGAATTATATTGTCTGGGATGGTGATTTCAAATGGTGGGTTATGACACATTTGTCAACAGTTAGTGAAATCCATTTACAGAGTAAGACTATTTTCCTTAAAGAATTTCTTACAGGAAATAGAAGAGAAACAGAACAGAACAGAAGGCTACCTAACAGAAGAGAATGTATCAGAGTACATAGCTACCACGAGTAAAGGTAATGGTTCATGACAGTTTGGTTTCATTTGTGAATGTGCTTGTTTGTGCAATGTGTGTGTGCTTGTGCACGATATGTAAACCTATTTCTCATAGGGCTGCAGGCAGAAAGGTTTGAAAGCCACTGGTCTAGAACTAGTAAGGTGACAATCCCTCTCTCCTCAGCAATACCTAGAAGGGCTCTTTCTCGCTCTGGGCATTGTGCTTTATAGGGAAACTGCTCCAGCTGGAGTGCTGTTCTGAGTTGGTGTTGATAGCATACTTGCCTGTAACATGCAGCATTTGTGGTTGTGGGCTGTGGATTAGTGATTAGAAAACAAATGGCTGTAGGAGTTGGGGCAGCCTCACCTGGGAATTAAGATTGTGGGGCATCCGAGAAGTGTCTTCACATAAGTGGAAGGCTGTCAGCACACCTGTCCTGAATGACTTGAAGGATGAAACTGAGACAAGGGATATGGCAGGACTAAGTTTCCCAAGACAGATGTTACAAGACCAAGATCTAAGTTCCTGTAACAGTGGATGCAGTGAGAAGACCAGCCGAAGCCAGCCGAGACTACTAAGACCAAAATGGCATCCAACACAACATCTGCTTGCCCTGGTATATAATTATACCCTAATTATAACTTATTAGCAAGCTAACAGACACTCCGACCAACACCACAACAGTTTACAATAACTATGGCAACTCCTGGAAGTTACCTCTATGTGGTTTAAAAAGGGAAAAAATTCTCGATTCTGGAAACTCCCCACCCCTTTCCTGGAAAATTCATGAATAATTCACCCCTTGCTTAGCATATCATCAAAAAATGAGCATAAATGTAGTCAGTCAACAGTCTATGGGCTACTCTGCCTATGGAACAGCCTGCTTTCTGTTGTTTCAATAAACTTGCTTTTGTTTTGAATTCTTTCCTACATGAAGCCAAGAGCCCTCTTGGCCTACTGGGTTGAGCCCTGATTTGGGGGTTCACCTGTGTCAAACCTAGGATCAGCAGAAGTTTCATGAAATTCATCAATATCTACCTTCAGCAGTTTGATGTGCTTTGTTTCCTGGGTTCTCTACCAACTCCAACATGTCCACCTGTACCATAGTTCTTCCTCTGATTCCCTGACTCACCCCTCCAGACCTTTCCATCCCCAGCACCTCCAAGTTTGTGTAAGGTCTAATTTCTACAGCAAATCCCTTGTTCCATGACACTCACAGTGTTTTTCGTTCCCTGAATGATACAGGAACCTTACAAGGCTCAGCACTCATGATGCTAAGATGGGAAGTTGGTTCTGCTCCCTCCCCTCTGCTCAAACTACTTTGTATCTGGATATTTTCCAGTTATTTTTAAATGAGAATGCTTTCTTGGGATACTGCTGTGAACTTTATTTTTATCCCTCCCCCTCCCCCACCTCCCTGCTTTCCCATCTTCTGGCCGCCCTCAATTCCACTAGCTCCAGCTGCCCCGGGCCCTCAGGGGAGGAGGCCGGGATCATGGGTAAGGGCACAGGTTCTGGAATCAGACAGCCCAGGGTTTGAGTCTTGGATGTGCCACTTAGTAACTATGGGACTTTGAATGAGTTACTGGACCTCTCCAAACTGTAGTTTCTTCACCTGAAAAATGGGGATACGACTTCAAAGGTTTGAGGTGAGAATCACATGAGATGGTCCTCTTAAAGCACCTGGTGCAGGCTTAGTAGTAAATTGTGGCTGAATACAGAATGAAAGCCAGGTCTCAAAGCAATAGGCTTAGAAACCAGCTCCCCTGAATACCCCAGTTGTGTGACATCATCTCTCAGGACATCTTAGGTAGACTGGTGTGGCCACTACAAGCAAGCTCAGATGCCCTATTGCTTTGTAAAAGATTTGTCTTAAGTGCCAAACGTTTTCCAGGCTATTCTGTGACACAAAGAGTCATGCAGAAATAAACTAGAGCTAACATTGATTTATGGGGGGAGGGCTCTGACTAAGGTTCTCTCTGCCTGCCTATTCTAGGCAGGGGCTCTGGGAAGCTGGACTTCTACCTAGGAAAAACCACATCCTGACATGGCCACTTTGGGGGAACATTAAAAAAAGGTCACTAAATAGGAAACTCCAAAACCAGTTAACAGGCAAAAATCAGTCAGGAAACTCAGAAAGGGTTAGGTAGACCATGTCGATCAGATTAATAATAAATACATAGGGTGCCCACGTACATATCAGGTGGTGTCCAAAACTCTTAATGTATACTAGCAGTGGAATTCTCTCAACAGCCCCAGGAGGTAGGTACTCTTGTTTTGTCTTCCTGGTTTACCTGAGTACTCCTTACCTTCCAAGCATCACATAACCCATCCCCTGGGTTTGCCAGCATCACATAACCCGTCCCCTGGCCCCACCACAGTGAGGTTTAGAGAGAAAGCTTCCTTTGTCTGTCTGTTTCTTATGACCTAGGAGTGAAGCCAGTCTCTTGGGCAGGCCTTAACCAATGACATCTGTCTTGTTGCAAAAAGACAGGCCAATTTGAACAAGTGGAATAATCTTTAGCCTCACAGGCTTACAAACTCCCAAAGCTGCAAAACCGACTGGCAGGAATTGTTAGGAAAAATGGTGCCCTAGGAAGTAAAGCCTCCATCAGTACAAGGCAGCCAGGTCCTCAGCCACAGTTTCCTCTTATGGAGAATGGGGAGAAATGCAGCAACAGCAAAAGTTGTTCAGAGGATTATCCAAAGAAACGCTTGTAGAGTTCCTAGCACAAGCCAGGCACATAGGAAGGATTTTAGAAAATGTAGCGACTTTTAACATCATGCACCATCACCATGCCACTGATGTCTTTAGTGGAGGGATAGATGGTATTCAAGAGCATAATTATCTGTAATGAGTTACTTAGAATCAAGTCCCAGCTCCATATCTCCCTAGTTGTGTGGTTTGGGCAAGCTATGTAACCTTGCTCTGTGAGTCCGTTTTCTCATACTTACAAGAGCATCTCGAAGATGCTCTTGTAAGTATCTCATAGGGTTGTTGATAGGATACATGAGATGACTGGGAAACAAGCTTTTCAGAGTACCTGGTGTTTATTACCAGGAAGTGTTGCTGATCTTGCTTTTGTTGCTAGTAGCAGACCAAAGAACCCCAACCAGACAGAAAGGCTGCTCAGGGGCTGGCACCGCATCTCCCACAGGTTTTTGTGTCCCACGGTGCCCAGAACAGCATCTGGGTAAGTGTGAGCCATTGGTCTCCCCGCTTCCCTCACCCTTCTACCTTGAGCCCATCCTACCTCCTCCAGGGAGCTTCTGGGATTGCCTTCAGTTCATCCTCCTTCCCTTCTCTAAACTCCAATCACAAGAAAGCCTGACCCTGGTGCGAGGCAACAGGCAAAGGAGAAGCAGGTCTTCTCCAAGACCTTGAGGTTAAACTCTTCCCAACCTGTGCCTTAAAATCACTGCAGGATAAAACTATGGAAATCGTCAACACTGAACCACCTCCTTTCTCTCTCCCCGACATGCTGGATGTTTCTTATGTTCTCATACTTTTCAGAGCCTTAGAGCGGACCTTCCAACATCTGTTCTGATGTGTTAGAATCTGCCAGGTGGATCCTGGGCACACAGCCTTCCTCCTCCATGTGCTGTCTTGGAAATTAGAGTAAAATGGTGTGATCACAGCTCACTGCAGCCTCGAACTCCTGAGCTCAAGCGATCCACCCGCCTCAGCCTCCCACCTCAGCCTCCAGCCTCAGTCTCCCAAAGTGCTGGGATGCTGGGGTGACAGCCACATACCACCACACCCTGCTCAGATTCTTTAGGGTTCAGTTTTCTCCTTTGTAAAATGAGGAAAATAAAGTGCTCTCATAGGGTGGTTGTGGGCCCTGAACAGAGCAACCTTGGATACTCCTAGCACCAACATCTCCCTGCACTTAGAATGAAACCAAGCCCACCTCGGGGCTCACTAGGCCTACCTGACCCAACCTGGTTACCCTCCAGGAGCAGCCGCCCCTCACCCACACCGAGGCTCCAGCCACGCCTACCTTCTGTCAGTTCCTGTAATGCATAAAGCTACCCTCTGGGTCTTTGCCTTTGCTGTTCCCTCTGCCTGGCATGCTCTTCCCTGTCAGCAAGGTGGCTCTCTCCTGCCTGTACTGAGGTCTCAACTAAATGCCATTGTCCCTGCTTATCACACACACACCACCGGCCATGCTCTAGCATCTCACGTGGCTTTATTTTATTTCCTTTATGGCCCTTATAATTTTCTGCAAGTGTTTTGTTTGCTTCCTATTCTCCCATTGTGAGAAAGAACACACAGACCACGAGACAGAAGCCTTGTCTGTAAGCAGTGCCCGGTCACTTCAAATATCTTTGAACAAGTGGGGAGCCAGGATTCGAACCCCAGTCTGACTCCAAAGCCCATGGAAACTTCCTCTGTCATCATAGACCATATTGGCCTATCATTCATACAGACTTGCAGCAAGTCAATGAGAAAAGCAGGCCAGAGGCTGGTGACAGGGAGGCTCACCTAGAGGTATGCCTTCTCCCTGAGGCGGCAGGAGACAAAGCCAAGGCCGGCAAGAAAGACTCTGGGTCATTTTACTCAAAAGGCTCAAACCAGAGCTCACATTTGTGCTCATGCTAAGTGAGGCACATGCCAGGACATGCAGGTAGGTTCGGGTCACCAGTGGAAGGGAATTCTGGCCCAGGCAGCACCGACACCAAAGCTTCCCGACTGATGGACTGTCACGGCCAAGGTAGGGCTGGAGGTAGACACCACTGCAGGCATAGCCACCTGTGGCGCCCCAGGCAGGAGCAGAGCACGGTAAGGCCTGCCACCTAGTGGACAAGACGCATTCTTCCCATCTCAACTGTGGTTGTCTACAGCCGGTCCTCTTCAGTTCTCAAGTGCATACAAGTCACCTGGGGATTTTGTTAAAATGCACATTCTGCCAGGCGTGGTAGCAGCTCATGCCTGTAATCCCAGCACTTTGGGAGGCCAAGACAGGAGGACTGCTTGAGCCCAGGAGTTTGAGACCAGCCTGGCAACATAGCAACAAAAAATTTTAAAAAATCAGCCAGGCATGGTGGCATGCACCCGTAGACCCAGTTACTCGAGAGACTGAGGAGGAAGGGTCACCTGAACCTAAGAGTTTGAGGCTCTGGCGAGCTGCAATCGTGTCACTGCACTCTAGGCTGGGCAACAGAGCAAGACTCCAACTCAAAAGAAAAGAAAAGTTCAGATTCTAATCCAGCAGGCTGGAAGTGGAAACTGTGATTCTGAAATTCTTTTTTTTTTCCTTGAGTTGGAGTCTCACTCTGTCACCCAGACTGGAGTACAGTGGCCGCTCCCGGCCACCGCAGCCTCGACCTGCTGGGCTCCGGCAACCCTTCCGCCTCAGCCTTCCAAGTAACCGGAACTACAGGCATGCGCTACCACGCCCGACTGATTTTTTGATTGATTGTAGAGATGAGGTCTCGTTGCCCAGGCGGGTCTCGA